TGTATCAACTCATCGGGTGGTAAATATACGATGGTGTATTCAGGTCAGAGCCCACAAAGTTTTGCTGGCATGAAAACGCGATCTCTAGTCAAATTCAATATGATCGAATAATAATAGTCATTATTCATAGTGAATTTTTTTTGTTTTATTATTATTCATATATTAGATGATTTAGATGATGATTATATGGAAATATAAACATTACTAACTCAATATAACTGGGGTTTCTTCCCTACACCGAATCGTTATTCTCAACACCTCGACACATGTGTCGATCACCAAGTGATCATCTTCAAAGAGGAAGATTAAAACTGTTTTAATCTTCCTCTTTGAAGATGATCACTGGGTGATCGAAACACGTGTCGAGGTGTTAGAAATAACGATTTGATTCTGGGAAAAAAACTCCAGTAATATACATTACTACACCAAAGGTTGCGAACAGTGCATCATAATTACTAATTCAGTTGAATACACTCACTTTATAACTACAAATGAAATAGGAATGTGAGTATTATATCATGGAAACAAGTTGGAGGTTGCTTATTGTTTCCTATTCGATTTCAGTTCCACCATTCAAAGATGTGGATGCTGTATGCAAGTCAAGATTGGATCGATGTTGTAGATCTCAAATCATCGGTTCAACATTTGTCGACTAAATTGAAGGTATTGGGTGATGGAGCCGAACATGCAAGCATTTATGATATGGAGAACATATTGAAACATATTGAAAAACATATTGAATTGTGTCTTTGTGATGCTGAGAACTATAGGAGTGGTGCAGAAGTTTGTAACAAATTTTTGGATAATGAATTGGAATCGTGTCAACTTTGTGAGGTAATGATTGAACTGAACCTGAGAAGATTCCTGTATAGCCTCCAACCATACTTGCCAGAATGGATTATTCATCACTTTGAATTGAATGATGAAAATCGAGAGGAAATTGAAGATGGTCGCGAAAATGATGANCATTGCGACCTAGAGGAAAGTGCTAGGAAAAAACGACCGTAACATAGCCGTTGCGGCGCCGCAACGGGACGGCGGGTGGTGTACATCCTCCCATCTGATACTTTGTACATCAGACCGCAAGTACGGCGCCGCAACTTAAAAAATCGGTTGTCTGCACCGGGCCTAAGATCACTCACAGGCAGAGCGTTATGTTCTAACTATTTAGCATACACTTGTGGAATGAGCTTCTTTTTATGCACGCTTTTCTTTTCAATGGTGCAGTTGGTTTTGGTTTGGGATTGTTCAATACGATTTTGTCTGTTATGAAGGAAACTCATAACAATAGTTATTCGATTTTCCTCAATTCCAAAATAATGAAAATCTCTTCTTCACTTCCAAAATGGATAAGGTTATTTTTCTTATCATGAATACGCATTGTAATGTTTTCAATCAATTGACGACCTTATGGACTGAAAGGCATATATATAACAAAAGAATGTGGGATTTTCCACCATTCATACATGAACCGGATATTATATTGCAATCTAAGCGGATAAGTCTCACAGTTGTAATGTTCATTGGTAATGAGTATAATGGTTTATATCTCCTGTGATTTGGATTCAAAACATCACGATGAACATCCCAGCAAATTTTGGATACGCTATTATGAATGTGTCAAACTTAGGGACCTATCACACATCACGGTGTGAACATCCCAGTCCATTTTTTCTAATACGTTATTGGGAATCCGTCAAAATTGTGGGCTCCGACACCACACACACACACACACACGGTTGGCATCTTAGCAAATTTTAGATATGCTATTGTGCATCAACAGACATGGGGAGACCCGGTATTTCAGTGCCTCGTGGGGGAGTACCTCGATATCTAAAATAGTTATGCTGAATAATTGAATAATTGATTTCAATGACTCGTAATAATGTAATATACCTTTCCGATCAGCTATATAATATAAGTAATCTGACAAATTGAATTGGAAATGTGACTTCAAGTGGTTTGAATAATTACAAGGAAATGATCTGGTTATGGTATATATACAGGGGATCATTATGAACTATTTGAATAGTGATTTAAGAAGACCAATATGCTATTAAAATTGAGGTTGGCATTCATATTCGTTCACTATCAGCTTTAGGAAAATATGAAGTTAGGTTGATTCTTGTAAAATTTTTCCAGGTTCATGAAAATTAAATCTAATAGTCTTCCTCTAATAATCGTAAAAATTAACAACGAAAAAATGATATAATATATCAATATTTCCAAACAAAATCAATCTGCCTATATTCCTACCAGAGCAACTTTTGAGTCTGCTGGTTGTGACCTAAGAATTTCAATAGATTTTTCAATTCCGCCTAGAGAGAGATTACTCGTCGATAGTTTTTTTGAAAATAGCTCAACTGATATGTGAACGTTATTGTATTCCAATTATTGGAGAAGTTGATGTTTTGAACACTACTGACCGGGAAGAGAAAAGTTTTGGTTTGTCTGACATCCTTCCGAATATTCCACAATGATAATAATAATGATGGTGATGATGAGATAGAATTAGTATCAAACAAAACATTCAGTAGGGAAGACAAATAGTTTATATCGAAAAAAAATGACTTTATTGAAATCTAATTATATCGTTTTGGTAGCTATTGTGAATGGTATACTATATACGAATGTTCCGAAAGAAGCTCAATATATTGCAATATGTTTTGATATGGAAAATATGAAGAAAGAGTGAAATAGAACTACTTGGAAAATATTGAGCCTTGCAAAGGAAAATAATGGCGAATCACCAATGTTTCAGATAAAGATTCCAGAATCGAATGCAACACATTTCAACTATAAATTTAAAATGATATNATTATTTCCAGAATCTTCTAGGATGTATGTGGTCGGGTTAGTCAACTTTACTTGTTTGACCTTAAACACTTCAGTGGTCCAATTTGGAAGACTTATTGAAAACATGTCGATATTTGGATATACGAACCTGGTCTCCTTTCCTGAACTTGGGTTTTTTTGGGTCAACATTTTTCAGATGTTGAAATGAATTGATAAATTTTGCATTTCTCTCATTTATTTTACTTGGTATCGACTTAGTTGTAGAATGTTTAGTGTTGTATTTGTTTACAATTTCAGGAAGAATGTTGATCCATTTGTAAGATCCTTGATAGCTAAATTGTTTCCATAATGATGATTTTAAAGTTTTAATCACACGTTCACAAATACTAGCTTTCAAATTTGAAATAGTACTATAATGGTTTATATCATATTTCTGCATCAGATTTTGAAAGTCCTTATTGTAAAATTCTTTTCCCATATCAGTTTGTAAGTTTTTTGGAGGGGTACTCATTTGTTCTAATACAGATTTCATAGCAGCAGTGATATCTTTACTCGTTTTCGTTTTCACTGGTACTGCCCAAACATATTCATTAAAAGCATTGATGATTACAAGAATGTAATTATATACTCTGTTTTCTTTTGCAAATTGATTCATAATAGCCGAATCGGCCTGTATCAGGTCATTTAAATTTTTAATTACAACATGTCGCTTTTTGTAACTTTTTCTTACTGGTTTATGGAGTTCCGATACAATCTGCCATTTACCCATTTTTCACTATCGGACACTGTATTAATATCTCAATAGAAATTGTTGGAGATGTTCGTAGTTCAAATATCATTTCATCTCCCTTGATGATAGATCTGTTAGCGAGTTGATGAAATTTGTATGTCGTATCATTATTTATCAAAACGTTTCCATCTTTGTTATCTACATCTTGTACTTTACTTTCCATTTTAGAAGACTTAGGAAATTTGAATGAAAAACTATCTCCATTCGCTTCAGAATGTGTTATGCTTTCAATCTTAGCAGACATGGGAAATTTGACGACTATACCTCCATTATCTAATATATAATAATTTTCATTCAAACTTCATCGTGGTTATCAAAATAATCACAAACATAAAATGGAAAATTGAATTGTTGTTGAAGAGGTGATTTTAATAATGCTTCTTCTTTTTCTACTTCTCTTTGAAGTTTTGAAAAATGTTGATTAAATCTATTCAAAGGCATTATAGAATAAATTGAAAGTTTAACCTCGAGAATGTTATTGTGAGAGCGACAACACTTTGTCTCAAGAATCGTTTACAAGTCGAATGAGAAAAAAGTGGGGAAGTTTAGAATATATACAGGTTGGAATTGTTGTTGATCACTGAATGAATATGTACTCAGTAGTAGTGAAGAAGAAAATTTGTTGTATTTGTAGAGCTATCAAGTTACAATACCTACCGTACCACTGTTTCGTTAGTAGACTCATTTTGCTCCTTGGTTTTTGTATAAAATGTATGCAGATAAGACCTATCGAAGTGATAACTAAATTCATAAACGACCCTGTTGGAATTGTAAATTCACCTATA